ATCGGTCTTGATGAGCCATCTTTCTTTGGGAGCCAGACAATCTTGGCCCTCTTCCATACCTTCGGGAAATATCCCGCTGTGAAGCATCCCATATAAATATCGCACAGTGTCCGTTGTGCCGCCCCATAAATGTGTGGCATGGCTTCGTTCGGTATTCTGTCCGTGCTGGTGGCTTTGCCTTTGTCGAGGCCTGCTATAATGTCTTCAATCTCTTTGTCGTTTATGTCCTTGTCGTTTTCTTCTGGATATTCCCTCTCCCTCACCCTCATTGCCCTCATCAAGTGATTGTCCTTCTCCGGGTCGTCGTCCGGAAAGTATTTTCTAATAAGGTATTCGTTGGTCTCTCTTTCGTTTTCCGTATATGTGCCGTCGTCTCTCTTGATATTTGTCTTAGCGTTGTTTCTTTTGTTGCTGCCCAGCATTTTCCATAGACGGTGCCAAGGGTCATTTTTGGACATGTTCTCCACGATGGTCTGGATGGAACTGATTTTTGCCTCCTGCACCGCTCGTTTGTATGTTCGTCTTTGTGTCTTGTATTTTTGTAATTTTAACTGTTTTGTGATTTGTCCTTGTTCTTCTTGCCACTCCCTTCTTAGTTTTCTGATGTTCTGTCGCAACTTTTGTAAGTCCTCATTCCACCAGTCTTGCGTTTGTTCGTTTGTCTCTCTTTGTTTGATGAGTTTTTTGCAGGTCTCGCTACAGATGTTTTGAATTCTTACGGCGCTTTTCTCTAGGTCGTATGTTGTTGTTAGTGCCCAGTTGTTCTTTGATATATCCTCCCTGATCCTAGCGCCGAAGGCTTCCCAGTCTGTGTTCGAAAAGTCGTACTCCCTTCTTTTCGCTGTTTTGTTGGCACTTTGTTTGTCGATAGTGTAAGTAATGTATTTGTGTCCGCTAAGACTTTCCTCTTCCAGGATTTTCCAGTCCTTAGTGTCTGCTCTCTTGGTGAGGGTGAGGTCGATGAAACTTTGCCCCCTTACTGTCTCGAAAGTCGGTCCTTGTCTCTCGTCGTTTTCTATATTATAGCCGTTAGCTACCGCCCAGTCCATTGTTTGTATGCCCCTTGTGTCTGTAGTTTGTCCGCCCCAAGCCTCGTGGTGTGCATTGAAGTCGCCGGCGAGGACGTGTGCGCCTTTTATGCTTCTGAGCCTGTCGCTGTTTTGTGCGAGTCTAGTGTTCTGACTGCCTCCAGGTTCGTCGTATAGTGATGTGATGTGTAGTTCTTCGTCTCTTGGCCCGGTGATTTTGATAGTGGTCATGTTCTTATTTGTCAATTCCTGGCAGGTGTGTACTGACTTCATAGTCTTCTTCACCCATATGCTTGTCTTTTTGCCATCTATGTCGCCGTGAATGTTATACGCATGGCTGTTGTGTTTGTTGTGTGGCTCCTGTACAATAATTATGTCTGCGTTCAGTTCTTTGGCGGTTTGTTCCATAACATTTGTCGCTTCCCTTCCCTTGTCCACATTGATTTGTAGGATACGTAGGCCCATTGTCTTATTTGTCGTTCCTGTAGTCCGTCATTTGTCTTGTTTGTTCTTCTTTCCGTTTATATACGGGGCACATTTTGTCTCTGGCCGTATGGTGTCTGTCGTGTTCGTCAATCCCTGTTGCCTTGCAGTTGGGGCAATCTAGTCGTGTGCTCTGGCAAGCGTCTCCCCTGTGATCTCCTCCACATTTGTGACACTTTTGCTGGTCTTTGCAGTGTTTGGCTATGTGACCGAATTTGTGGCAGTTGAAGCATAGTGCCACGTTAAAGACTTCTTCTGCATACACCGTCACCAGGTCCAAGTAGACTCTTGTTTTTTTCATAAAGAACTTGAAGGTTTCCACGTCTGCTTCTACGACCAGATTTTCTTTGAAGGTATTCCGGCATTCACGCCTGGCCACTATTTTCGCCCTCTGTTTAAGACTCCCCTTGTACATCTCAGAGACGTCTTCGTTCTCCGCTTCTATGAGGTCCCAAATTTCCTCGTCCGTGTACCCTTTGGTAACCCCTGTAAACATGAATTTTGGGGCCGGTCTCTTCCCGTGGTTGACCACGAGAGGGCAGTTGGTTGCAGCAAGTTTATCCGTTACAGCCTTTTTTTGTGCTTCGTCCGTGTAGTGTATGACCACCTTTCCCTTTTCGATCGGAATAATGTTTTTGAAGGCGCCCTGCATGGTTCCTGCTGTCAAATTCTTGAACGTCCGTAGTACAACTTTGGGGTCCTCCACGTTCGGCAGCGATATCACCGACTTTGGGTTGTTCGGCTTCTGCTCAGGGGTCGTCCACCCCTCGGCCCTTCTGTTCGTAGCTTGAGTAACCCCGGCGTAGGTCCTCTTCTTCTTTTTTCTTTCGACTCGTTGATAGCCGTCGTCCGTCTCTTCTCTCTCTGTTTGTCTTGTGTCTGTGTCAGTCTCCTTGCGTTGTATGTGTTGTTGCGGTTTTCTCTGTTGTTGGGGTCTGGTGTCCTTTTGTGCTGTTGTACTTGGGGCTTCTCTCAGTGTATCCCATATTTCTTTGATCTGATCGTTAAGTTTCTGGATCTCCGCGCTTTGTTCTCTTATTGTTGTGGTTAGGTCCGGATCTCTCATAAATCGTTTCTGTATGACCGCCTTCTTGCCCATTTGATGTGCGGCCATGATCATGATTTCTCCAAGAATGTCGAGTTGTGCTTTGACTTTATTTTGGTCCTCCTTGCAAAATTGTATTTTACCCCCTGAGTACCGTGTCGTGGCCCGAAGTATTTCTTGTTTTGCTAGTGCGAACTTTTCGAGTATTCCGATATTTTCCTTTTCTCTGTCGAGGTCGATTCCTCCCATAGCTTCCTCGTCGTCGGCCTGTGTGCCTATTGCTGCGTTTTGTGTTTTCTCCCTTGAAGTTGCTACGGCTTCTGCTCGAACCTGGCTCCTGGCTTCTCTCTCCCTTCTTCGCTTGTCTTTATGCGCGTCTTCATCTGTTGAAGACGAGTAGGTATCAAGTTCATCCGGTGCTGGGTGAGTCCCCTCATTTCCGGGAGTGTAATATGCCCTTCTTCTTTTGATCTTGTTGCCCGGTGTTTGTGTACTCGGTGGCGTTCTATTTAGGGCCAGTACTCTAGGAATTCCCCCTTGACTAACTGCCAGGGTTTCCAGCCTCCGTATTTCTTGTTCACTGTCCTCGCTTTGAGGCATTTCTACCGTTTTTTCTCCTGTTCTTCCTAATTTTGGCGTTTTAGGCTAATTTTGGCGTTTTTCCAGATTTTTCCAGATTTTGGAAAAAACTGGAAAATGTTCTTTTGGCTGTTTCAGACTTTTCCAGAATTTTTCCAGATTTTTCCAGATTTTTTCCAGCCTCTCCAGACTCTTCCTGATCGTTTTCCAGACTTTTCCAGATTTTCCAGAATTTTCCAGGACCCTTTCCAGGCCTTTTCCGCCCTTTCCAGAATTTTTCCAGAATTTTTCCAGTGTCTCCAGACTTTTTTTGGACGTTTTCCGGACTTTTCCAGACTTTTCCAGGTTTTCCAGAATTTTCCCGGACCCCCTCCAGATCTTTCCAGACCCTTCCGGAATTTTTCCAGCCTCACCAGACCTTGTTTGGTCGTTTTGGGACGTTTTCCGGATTTTCCAGATTCCTCCAGAAATTTTCCAGACGTTTTCCAGACCCTTCCGGAGCCCTTCCAGGCTGCTCCCGCTTGTTCCAGGCCTGTTACGCCCTTTTCCGTGCTTCCGTGGCGAGTTCTTGTGGTGGACTGTTACTCCAGGTGCACCGGTTTGGGGATAAATAGAATACTACGCTCCTTCCGGAGCCACTACTGTTCGATATCGTCACCACATTCGCGAACGCGAATACCGACTTGTCTATTTTCAGAGTTTGACTGCACAGCTGATGTGTGTAACGGATTTGTAAATTCAAAACAGAGCGTAAATTCCACGCACTTTTGAGTCAAAGTTGCGACTTACCCGGCTTGTTTTAGGACGCACGCACATTCGCCCGTACAGGATGATCGCCACTCATCACTCCCGCACTGCAAACACTGTCTAAGAGTCGCTTTTTTCCGAAAAATACTCGATTTAAATGTCCGGTTTGAGTACAAAGTGCCTATCGTAACCACGTTCGATAACCAAGGCAAGGATCGATCCCGCCGCCGACCGGTGACCCCACGCGGCAATTAGGGCTCGTGCGACGATCGGCGCGAACGCCGACCGCCTAGTAAAGTCACATTGTTTTGAGCCTTTCGACTCTCGGAACTCCAAGAGTTATCGTTGCCACCTTTGACTAGAAAGGATACGGCCTTAGAGGCGTTCAGGCATAAACCAACGGATGGTAGCTTCGCACCATAGCCCGCTCGAGCTAGTGCGTGAACCAAATGTCCGAACCTGCGGTTCCTCTCGTACTGAGCAGGATTACTATCGCAACGACCAGTTATCAGTAGGGTAAAACTAACCTGTCTCACGACGGTCTAAACCCAGCTCACGTTCCCTTATTGACGGGTGAACAATCCGACGCTTGGCGAATTCTGCTTCGCAATGATAGGAAGAGCCGACATCGAAGGATCAAAAAGCGACGTCGCTATGAACGCTTGGCCGCCACAAGCCAGTTATCCCTATGGTAACTTTTCTGACACCTCTTGCTGAAAACTCTTCAAGCCAAAAGGATCGATAGGCCGTGCTTTCGCAGTCCCTATGCGTACTGAACATCGGGATCAAGCCAGCTTTTGCCCTTTTGCTCTACGCGAGGTTTCTGTCCTCGCTGAGCTGGCCTTAGGACACCTGCGTTATTCTTTGACAGATGTACCGCCCCAGTCAAACTACCCGCCTGGCAGTGTCCTCGAATCAGATCACACGAGAGCATAAAACGGCACCCGGAGAACCGCACTCAGACGCCGACGGTCCGAACGCCGCGAAGCGCCCGGATATCGACGCAGGCACGGCTTCCGAATACCACCCTACGTGCTTGGTTCGAGAATACCGTGACAGCCGTCGCCTCGTGAGCGAACGGCGCACGCGTTCTGCCTAACCGAGTAAGTAAAGAAACGATGAAAGTAGTGGTATTTCACCGGCGATTTTCATCTCCCACTTATGCTACACCTCTCATGTCTCCTTACAGTGCCAGACTAGAGTCAAGCTCAATAGGGTCTTCTTTCCCCGCTAATTTTTCCAAGCCCGTTCCCTTGGCAGTGGTTTCGCTAGATAGTGGGTAGGGACAGTGGGAATCTCGTTAATCCATTCATGCGCGTCACTAATTAGATGACGAGGCATTTGGCTATTAAAAATCTTTATTTAGGAAAAAGTAGAGGTTACAATTTTCAAAGACGTTTCGGCTTATTATAGTATGGGAGCCGTTCCATTTAAAATTTGCTCTCATGAGCCTACTCTACGAATTAAGAAACAAGAACCGCCAGACAGTTGGCGCTGCTCTAGGGCAGGGTGCAATTAAAATTATAATCTGTACAGGTATTGGTAAAAAAAAAAAGAACAGAACAAAAAGTATTTACAGACGGGTAGGTAAAAGGGACACGAACTCACTTAAAGCTAACACACGTAGAGTATAAATGAACAAGCACGATGGTAAAATAAATATGGCGATAAAAGGTAAGGTGAACATATAACAAAAAAAGAAAAAAAAATGTGTAAGATATCACAGAAGGCGGCTATAGGATGTATCTAATGGTATATACAGTGAATAGAATAGAATTAAGACGATAAAAATTATGTAAAAAATGTAAAAGTAGTGAACAATCGGTGACAGTGATCGAAAATAAAGTAACATAAAAGATATACAAAAAAAAAAAAAAAAGTAAGGGGATGCTTCAAAGGCGGCGCGAGTGAGCCTTGTGGATCATAGCACCGCCTTTGAGCACACTGTATATTAGTTCCTTTTTCTTGTATGTGGGGACGCGGAGAGCGTCACAAAGGAAACTGTTCCCGGCACACCAACCCCCTCTCGCTCCAAGGATGATGGGAAGAATTCTTAGGGGGCGGTTGGGATGTTGATTGGTGAGGGTTTCCTTGATGTTTTGGTCATTATAGTGCCGCACCTTATCGACTGCAGCCATCTGAAGGGGCTCAGGGCCCTCCCAGTGGACTGCCACATCCGACACAATGATCTCCGCGTCCGACACTAACACAAGATCGGGCTTCCGGAGCCGACCTTCCGCGTCGCGCAGCCGAGGCTCGACGCTTACACTCCAACCACCGGTACGCGCGAATTCGGCGATTTTCCGCACTATCGCATCGTGACGGCGCACTCGTTCGAAATGAGTCGCGGGGCACTTTTGCAGCACGTGCGATTGACTCTCGGTCCGCGCGCACCCGTGGCGGCACATCCGGTGTTCTGGGGCATTATGAACACCCCCCACGACAGGCAATAGGTTGCCGCGCAACAAAATCGCACTCACGTAATCTCTCCCGGACCAGAAGCTCGGTGGGTAGTAAATCCATGAGGAGCCCCCGGGGAGGTCTCCAACACTAGCGATTCCATTTCCAGAAACCGATCTATCCAGCGCAGCTCTCCAGAAGTTGTTTTCTGCATCTCTACCAGCTCCAACCTCCCGCGACATTTCCTGGAACTGAGCCAATTTTTCACCATAATATGTCGTAGCGCATAGGGATGTAGACAGGCTGTCCTGTTGTTGTTGAACAGCGAGGAGTCGCTTAATGATTATTTTGGGGATTTTAGTGAAAAAAGAAGTGACCCCAAGACCCCCATGTTTGGTGGCAGCATGAATATATGAATTGGTGCAGTGAAGCGGAAGGTGGAGGGCCGTTCTGATGGCCGAACGAACAGAGCGATCACAGCCATGCAGTGTTTTTGCCGAGATGTTAGGCGCCTGAAGAATGTAGAGATATCTGGGCAGTAGGTAAACCTGAATAAGATTTAGCTTCTGATAGGGTTTGAGAGGAGCCCTCAGAATCCTGCTAAGTTGGGTCGGGAGCAGGGCGACGTTGGGGGACTCGGTACCCAGAAAGGAGTATTTGAAGCCAAGGTATTTAAACTGAGTGGATGCGTCAATGGTATTTATCAGGCCACCGGAGGCATAAAGGCGAGACTGGGTGGAGACATAGAGTTTTTTCTTGTTCGGGAGCAGCTTGGCAGTCATTGCGGTGCACTTCCTGGCATTAAGGGACATTTGCCTCTTCCCCAGAAAGCGCTCCACCTGCCTAATTAAGAGTTGGGCTGCATGAGGAGAGTCCCCGAACAAGACTAAGTCGTCAGCATAAGCTAGGGCCGTGATGTTTAACCCGTCGACCTGGATGCCCGGGGGGCGCGTATGAAGATCCTCCAGTAGCTCGTCCATCACCATATTAAAAAGCACAGGCGATAAAGGGTCACCCTGTTTGACTCCCCGCAACATGCCAATGGGGGCGGTGGTTCCCGAAGGACAAGAGACAGACGTCATCACCCCCTCGTACCCATCCATGATTAGCGTCGCAACTCGATCGTCGATGGAGAATCTTTTCAAAGCTCTCTTCACGCTGCAATGTGACACCGAGTCGAAGGCCTTCCGGAGATCCAGAGTAACGATGGAGTGTGGCTTCGACTCGCGGCGGCACATTTTAATGACAGTCTGCAGCGTGAAGGTATTCGCTACGGTACCGTCCAGAGGTAGGAAACCGCGTTGGCTTGGATGGATAGGAAGATTCTCGAGCCTTTTCGCCAGGATTTTATTGAGTAATCTGAGGAGGGCAGAGGTAATGGTGATGGGACGCCAATTGTTTACATCATCAAGTCCTTCAGCTGTTTTGGGGATGAGGGTGGTGCGGCACTCCTTGGCTCCAGGGGGTATCCGGCCTCCGAGCAGCAAGAGATTGAGAAAAGCTGTCACAGCGTCTAAGGGCAATTTTCTGATGTTGGAAGGGGAAATTCCGTCCGGGCCTGCAGCGTCAGATCCTCTCCTATCAATAAAGATCTTAGCCTCCTCTTTGGATATTGGCTGCCAAAGGTTAAGGACACTTGGCTTTCTGTCAGTGATGTAGTCGTTGTCCGGCTCCGAGGGCGTTTCAAAAATTGTTCTATACGCCTCCTCGATATTTCCAATAGGTGGAGCCTCAGAGTCGTCGGCGTCCAGAGTACCGTCAATGATGCGCTGGGCCAGCCTTGACCTGTTTTTAGAGTAAAGTTGTTGAGCTCTCTTATATCTCGCCGCTCTGGAGCGGTCAGGTCTAGGGGGAGGACGTGCCCCGTCACGTAGGGCGGGAGCTGGGCGTGAGGTCAACTCTTTAAGGAGGAGGTAGAACTCTTCGGCCACC